CTGAAATGGCAAAGCTCTTCAAAAAAAAACAAAAAAATGCACTATATATGCAAAAAGATGTTGACTAGAAAACTTTAATTAACACACTTTTTGAAAGTCTCACACTCACTCTAATATAATTTGCCAAAATAGAGTTGTTAATTTCAATGTTTCTTTTGAGTCAAGGTTGTGACCATATCTCAAATCAAGTCAGACCTCTAAACTTACGTAATGTATTTCATCTCTTAAGAAATAATGTTGGGGACCATTTTTGTATTTAAGGTTGACACTAGAGTCAAAGATACAGTAATAAGAGCATTACGAGAGATAAAGAAATGGATAAATACTCTTGATCAGCTCTGTCTTATAGAAATGTAATGTGATCCACACATGTATTTTTAAATTTTCTAGACAACACCTAAACAGATATAAAAACAAATAGGTTAAATTCATTTTGATAATACTTTTTATCTAATCTGACATTTCCAAAATATTAACGTTTCAACATGCAGTAAATGTAAGATATTGCCATTTAGATAGTTCTGGATTTTTTAAATATATATATACTAAGTGTTCAGAATCTGGTGTGTAATTTGTGTGGAAAACATTTGGACCATTTACATTTTAAGAACCTAAGAGGTACATGTAACTAGTGGTTCTTATATTGTACAGGGAGATCTAGGTAATTCAAGAAAAACAACACAGGTAACTAAAACAGCATTTTCGGAAATGAAAAATCAAGTAATCACCTCAGTTTAACTTCTTTTCTCATGCATGTAACAGTTTTTTGACCCAAATCAGATACCTTCTAACCGTCATTAAACTGTGAAGATTATACAGTCCTTGACCAAGTTATTCTTTAATGTGCTGAGATTCCTATAGGAGGCTCATGCATTAATATACTGTGTTTTTTGTTTGTTTGTTTTGTTTTGTTTTGGGGGGAGAGGTTTTGCTACAGGGCATGTGCGCTCACCAGAAAGACAGAGACAGACAGAGAGACAGAAAGAGAGAAATCACCCCCCAGGGAAATGGCCACACCACAATCCCTTCTCCTCCATTCTCCTCTTGGGATCTTGGGCACGCATGCACACACACCTGGCATGAGTTTAAGCCACTGGTTCTGGGACTCTAACCATGGTAGACTACATGGGAGTCTAGCAACATAGCCATTACACCAACTGCTGGTCCCAGTATCCTGTGTTTTGAGCTGTTTCTTCAGTGACTAGGGTGGCTTTGTGTCTGTCCCCTTACTCTCCAAGCAAACTTCTGTCAGTGTTCTCTTGGGATCAAGAGGTGTTTTGTTTTGTTCTGTTTTAGCAGAATTAGATATAATTCTCTGACCATGGTGCCAAGTAATATTGTTTTTGTCCTGTACAAGGCTAGAAATCATTGCTCAGGCTTCACTGGTTTAATCTTTTAAACAATTGAAGGGCTAGCTAAAAATAAGTAGAGCATGTCTGTATAAGTCAAAACAAACGGTATGTCAAGAAAAGAAAAAATGAAACAAACATTGAACATTCTCACTGGATGACACTAACTTGTTGAAACTTCCCAACAACTCAATGAGGCAAGTTTGCTATTCCCATTTAACAGATAAGAAGACTAAGGACCAGCAGATGGCATTATAATTCAGTCACTGGCCTCCCATGTAGTTGACCATGGTTCAAGTCCCAGACCCAGGAACTTAAAATTCTTGCCAGGCATGTGTGCGTGTGTGCCTAAAATGCCGAGAGGAAAATGAAGGATAAGGAGTTGTGGCATGGCCATCCCCTGTGGGGGGTGATCTCTTGCTTTCTGTCTCTGTCTGTCTTTCCGGCGAGTACACATGCCCTATGGCAAAAATTTCTCTTGAAAAAAAAAGAAGGACTGAGTCAAAAAGGGCGAATATAGAAAAGGACTGGTGTTTAGCTGTGGTGTTTACCACAGCTTCATGTTCTTGCTCCTTGTTTCCCCATCTGGCTGACCATCAAAATTTCCTAGAAAATATTTTTTTAAGAAAATAGATTTCTAGGTCCTTCTCATACATTCTGAATTACTGTCTGTCTGACGAGCGCACGTGCCCTATCGCGAAAGCCTCTCCAAAAAAAAAAAAAAAAATGCACTATATATTCAAAAAGATGTTGACTAGAAAACTTTAATTAACACACTTTTTGAAAGTCTCACACTCACTCTAATATAATTTGCCAAAATAGAGTTGTTAATTTCAATGTTTCTTTTGAGTCAAGGTTGTGACCATATCTCAAATCAAGTCAGACCTCTAAACTTACGTAATGTATTTCATCTCTTAAGAAATAATGTTGGGGACCATTTTTGTATTTAAGGTTGACACTAGAGTCAAAGATACAGTAATAAGAGCATTACGAGAGATAAAGAAATGGATAAATACTCTTGATCAGCTCTGTCTTATAGAAATGTAATGTGATCCACACATGTATTTTTAAATTTTCTAGACAACACCTAAACAGATATAAAAACAAATAGGTTAAATTCATTTTGATAATACTTTTTATCTAATCTGACATTTCCAAAATATTAACGTTTCAACATGCAGTAAATGTAAGATATTGCCATTTAGATAGTTCTGGATTTTTTAAATATATATATACTAAGTGTTCAGAATCTGGTGTGTAATTTGTGTGGAAAACATTTGGACCATTTACATTTTAAGAACCTAAGAGGTACATGTAACTAGTGGTTCTTATATTGTACAGGGAGATCTAGGTAATTCAAGAAAAACAACACAGGTAACTAAAACAGCATTTTCGGAAATGAAAAATCAAGTAATCACCTCAGTTTAACTTCTTTTCTCATGCATGTAACAGTTTTTTGACCCAAATCAGATACCTTCTAACCGTCATTAAACTGTGAAGATTATACAGTCCTTGACCAAGTTATTCTTTAATGTGCTGAGATTCCTATAGGAGGCTCATGCATTAATATACTGTGTTTTTTGTTTGTTTGTTTTGTTTTGTTTTGGGGGGAGAGGTTTTGCTACAGGGCATGTGCGCTCACCAGAAAGACAGAGACAGACAGAGAGACAGAAAGAGAGAAATCACCCCCCAGGGAAATGGCCACACCACAATCCCTTCTCCTCCATTCTCCTCTTGGGATCTTGGGCACGCATGCACACACACCTGGCATGAGTTTAAGCCACTGGTTCTGGGACTCTAACCATGGTAGACTACATGGGAGTCTAGCAACATAGCCATTACACCAACTGCTGGTCCCAGTATCCTGTGTTTTGAGCTGTTTCTTCAGTGACTAGGGTGGCTTTGTGTCTGTCCCCTTACTCTCCAAGCAAACTTCTGTCAGTGTTCTCTTGGGATCAAGAGGTGTTTTGTTTTGTTCTGTTTTAGCAGAATTAGATATAATTCTCTGACCATGGTGCCAAGTAATATTGTTTTTGTCCTGTACAAGGCTAGAAATCATTGCTCAGGCTTCACTGGTTTAATCTTTTAAACAATTGAAGGGCTAGCTAAAAATAAGTAGAGCATGTCTGTATAAGTCAAAACAAACGGTATGTCAAGAAAAGAAAAAATGAAACAAACATTGAACATTCTCACTGGATGACACTAACTTGTTGAAACTTCCCAACAACTCAATGAGGCAAGTTTGCTATTCCCATTTAACAGATAAGAAGACTAAGGACCAGCAGATGGCATTATAATTCAGTCACTGGCCTCCCATGTAGTTGACCATGGTTCAAGTCCCAGACCCAGGAACTTAAAATTCTTGCCAGGCATGTGTGCGTGTGTGCCTAAAATGCCGAGAGGAAAATGAAGGATAAGGAGTTGTGGCATGGCCATCCCCTGTGGGGGGTGATCTCTTGCTTTCTGTCTCTGTCTGTCTTTCCGGCGAGTACACATGCCCTATGGCAAAAATTTCTCTTGAAAAAAAAAGAAGGACTGAGTCAAAAAGGGCGAATATAGAAAAGGACTGGTGTTTAGCTGTGGTGTTTACCACAGCTTCATGTTCTTGCTCCTTGTTTCCCCATCTGGCTGACCATCAAAATTTCCTAGAAAATATTTTTTTAAGAAAATAGATTTCTAGGTCCTTCTCATACATTCTGAATTAGAATCTTTAGGGCTCGTGATCTAGTGATCTGTGGTAACTAGCAATCCTATTACTTTATTTGTTAACATAATACTAGTGACTTACATTAGTGAGAATGCAGCCTCTGTATTCACTAAGAATTCTGCAGTTCAAGCTCTTCTTTTATCCACCATTCAAATCATGCCACAGGAGTCCCTTCAAGTATGCATAGAACTGACTCTGGGTTGGGGCATGTGGTTTATACACATGAACGAAAGTCATAATTGTCAGAATTGTTCTCAGTTAAGGCAAAGCCTGTCAAGTGCCCCTATACGAAAATACCTATATTGCATTACAGAGAAAAATACAAATTTGTCCCTATCCTGCTGGGTAGCTTATGACAAGGAACAGTAGCTCGTGTATTGAGTATGGCCCCTGTGCCAGACACTGAAACGGTATGCTCGGGATAGCCTATGGAACAGATATCAGTATTAGCATGTTATCGATGAGGAAAACTGTATCAAGGACATTCACTAATGCATCCAACACCACAGCTAGTAACTGGCACAATTTGGTTTGAAACAAGAGCTTTTTCACCCAGACCTTTTCTTTATCGCAGAGATGAAGTTAGTGAAACAGTATGTAATTCTTTCTCACCATTGCATACAATACCAGCATCTTCATTCCGTGAACATACTCAGGAAAGTCCTGGTGATGGGCCGTTATGTCAGACTGGCGAATACCAAGTGTTCAGCTGGCCATGGCTCCTGTTTTCATAAAGGAAAGTATCAATATTTAGTACTAACCCATTGCTCTCCATCTCCCCTTAGGTGTATGAACAGGATGATTTGAGTGAACAAATGGCAAGTTTGGAAGGGCTAATGAAGCAACTCAATGCCATTACAGGCTCAGCCTTTTAACATGTATCGCTGAATTGATGAAGTGAATTTTCTGGGGACGTTTCAGAATACCAGTTATCCATAAACAGCACACCTGTGTCCAAGAACTCTCTCCAGTGTACAGGTCAACCATCAGGACCACCCAGTCAAGAACAACGCTGAAGCAGATCAGAAGGAATAAGCATCCCTTCTTTCATAGGCATCAGAAATGGTGAAATGATGACCATGAGGTCCCTAAAAAAAGCAGAAGATGCATCTTCACGGCAATGTCAGAGCTGAAGCTGCTAGAATAGTCCTGGGTCTTTGCCACTGCAGTGACCACACTGTCATAATTAACGCCTTTGGTTTTCTTTGTCAAGGCCTGTCATTCTCTGTGTAGGTCTAGTCTTACAAAATGCAAGTGCATTATTTAAGCCTGTACCATGCTATGGCAAACCTGTGCAAGCTCACTATTTTGTTTTCAACTCTAAAGTACAAAGCACCCATGGGAATTCTCTCACTACAGAGCACCGAAGGATTGGATGTTTTCCTGACAGCACAAAAAGTAACTAAGTAAACAAAAGGCAGTGAATGCTCATGTTTGTAACTCAGTCATTCATCTTGCACAAGCGTTGGATATTAGCAAGTGGCTATAAAATTCAGCCATGTTAGCAAGTATTTGTAAATCCACCCTTGGTTAACATTTATGTCTGGAGTACAGGAACTTAAAAATCTGCAACCAGTGGCAACCTGCCAGCAGCAGTGTATTTCTGGAAAGAGAATACAATATGCAATCTTCTCAGACCCACGGTAATTATGTGTTTAAGCTTGTAATAGGATACTTTTCAATTTGGGTGGCTTTTGTGCCATACCACACTGTGATGACATTTCAGAGCTTCGCCAAGGCCATCTTCCTCAGGAGTCTGGCCAGGAGACTTCCCCCTAACCTCACACCCAAAACCCCTTCATGCCATCACCTCATCCCTCCCTGAGTTCTCCTTGGCAACTAGCCTTGGGTGAAGTGGCCAGCTTCACACATAGTATGGCTTCCTGGCCCATGCCCCCCATAGAAATGGCAGACCCCTTAAGGCCAGGTTCTGAGGAAGGGAAGATAAATAGCAGGCAGTTCCCACTAGTACCTTCTCTTGATAACCAGTTCCACCTACAGTGTCCTCACCAACTTATGTTGGGCAGCATTGGCAAGTGTTGACCACCAGGCCCTGTTGCCAAGGGAACTCCTACCCTATGCCTGTGCCACAGACAGAGAGGCCCAGAGGGGTAGGTGCCACTTGACACTGGTGACACATCATAAATCCAGTGGATACTTATCAAAGCAGCATCTTAAATTGCAGGCTAGAATCTTAAATTCCTATTGCCATGTTTATCTACAGCTTCAAACTAGCCGAAATTAGGAACATTCTGTGTGCACCCCTTTCAGTTTCTGAATTTTCAGCTGCATTTGGAGTTAATCCCTGTTTATGCAGTTGAATTGCCAGAAGGGAGCTAGTTTGCATATTTATCAGTTAGGCGACTTGAAAACCCAATGAGAGTTTCAGCTGAATTATTTCTTTCAGCTCTGCCTTTGATTTCAAGCTTGAGTAGGTCATAATTTTTAAAAGAGCATGGAAGGGATAGGATCTTTACAACCTAATAGCTCCTTTTATTAGGTGGGTAATTATATATGAATCCCTGAATGAAATATTTTGAGCAAAATGGCGCTGTAACAGAAGTAATAATTCAGATTATTTTTTTACAGTTTTATGTCGGGAAGGAAATCTGATGTCAAAGAGAGGGCTTGATCAAATGGTTCATTGGAAAGTCCGGTCCACTTGCGAAATTGTTCCTTCAATAAGAGTGCTTGTTCAATTTCCTAAGGTTTTCTGGAAGCCCTTCTGAAGAGCTCTGTGACGTTATTCTATGGAACAGATTATTTTTACTCAATATCTGACACTTGGAGAATCTTCCACTGACCTGGAATAAGGCATTTCCTAACATAATATCAAGTCCCTCAGAAATAATCCATTACTTCAGAGACAAATGTTCATTAGGTTAATTTAACCTTCTTGAAGTCATGGAATAGCTTCCTCTTTCCAAACAGAGGAACATTCTGTGAAAGCATTTGACACCCATGAGGGTTCTCCTGAGGACTCAGTTTGAAATGGATGACAAATCACTGTTTTCCGGAGTTGGGTTATAACTTCAGTCTATAGAATATACTTAGACAATCAAGAGAACTAGCATTCACAAAAGTACAGACACCTCTATTCAAAGTTAATAATTATTTAAAAAAGTGAAATTTTGGGGAACCAGCAGTTACCGTAATGGCTATGTCACTGGACTCCCACGTAGTCGACCGCGGTTAGCGTCCCGGACCCGGTGGTTTAAAACTCACACCGGGCGCGTGTGTGTGCGTGCCCAAGATACCAGGAGGAGAATGGAGGAAAAGAGATTGCGGCATGACCATCCCCCCTGGGGGGTGATTTCTCACTTTCTGTCTCTATGTCTCTCTCTGTCTGTCTGGCGAGCGCACGCGCCCTATAGTGAAAACCTTTCAAAAAAAAAAAAAAAAGTGAAATTTTTAAAAATCCATTAAAGATATGTGTTGTTTTCAGTAAGAGTTCTATTTCGTTACCTGCTCTTGAAACTTTTCTTCATTGAACAAATAATGGTGGTTTATTTTAGTAATGGCAATGCTAATGTCTTAGTGCCATGCCTAGACTGTGTAACAGAATCCATTTAAATACCCTCAAGAGACTCGAGTGTTATTTACCTGGTAGTTTAGTACACCATGGCTGACTTCACTACTCCTGTGTGAGTCTGCTCTCTCGTATGGTGCCCATACGTATACAACCACCTGCTCAATTTCTCAGGTAACTTTTTAATTTATCAATCTCTCCTGGTCTCTTGTCAAGAAAGAACCTGTGAAGACTGTGAGATTGCCTCTGTTTACTGCTATTCCAAGTCCAGTGCACAGCATGCAGGGCTTTTTAAGCTCATAAATCTCTCTGACTCCCATAGGGTGATGCTTGACAGCCAACCAGCAAGCCCTGCCACCAGGACTCATTTCTTTCTGAAAAGGAGAAAATCAACCTTGGCAGGGCACGCTCAGGCCTCTCCTGCACCATGCGGAACAGTCTGGCAAGAGCCTCCTCGTGAAAAAATTTGCTGTTTTTCTTTATATTTCACCCTGATAAGAAAGCTAGTTACTTTCCCCTAGAAAATTCTGCATTTGTTAAACTCACAAAAATGCAGACAGCTCAAAATATATAAGGACTATTTGGATAACATTCTAGCCAAAAGTTAAATATTCTTAGTGATTCACATTCAATAAGAAAACAGGTATACTGGCCTCTTTGTTTAACAGAGTATAAACTGCTAGACTATTTAAATAATGTAACTTTACTTTTGGATATTGGGAAATGCACATTCAGTTGAATAATCAAAAAAATAAATAAAAAACAAATACCAAGTCACTGATATAAGAGGTGGATCTATTAAAGCTTCCTGTCAAGAGTTGGCTATAACGTTAATTTGTTTAAAATCAGGATTATTCATTTCTCTGTTCTACTTCCTATCTTGGTAGCAGCTACCAAAGGAGAACCACCCAGCATTAGTGTGGTATTCTAGACAACTTTCTGAAACTGTAGTTTGGCGCTCTAACTTTTTCAATTAAGAATTTCTTTTACATGCCTAGAGTCTACACTTAAACATGGTTGCTTATACTTATCCACCCTTCAGCACTTCTGTTGAATTTTTTTAAATAAACAATTTAGGGTTGTCTCTAAATTTAATAGAATGTCTCAGACATGGCAGCTGAACTAATTCCAGCAAAAGAAAGTTACCTCTAAAGAGATCACCTTATCATTTTTGATGAAATTGTACTCCAGATCCACATTTCTTATGGCTTTAGAAGGTTCATTTCTAGTCCATGAAAGGAAAATAGAAGAATGAGATGTATTTAAAGAAAATAAAATCATTTGAACTTTAAAATAAATGTGGAGTGAGGTTGCTTTCCTCACCCAGCTCACTCCATGCAAACATAGACCATCCTGAAGTCCAGAGGTTAATATTTAAGTACACAATACAGCCCCCCATGTTCTCGAGCCGGAGGAGCAGTCATGAATTTAAATCTATATTCTTTCTTAAGCCATATTCAATGTACCATTTCACTCATAGTTTATACTTCTTGAGTAACTTTCAGAAATCACTTTAGTATTGTTCAGAAATGCTTTTCCCCTGAGTCCAGTATGTTAAATGGGATATTTTAGAAAATTATAGATAAACGTTTTGTATGGTATTCCATTCCACTGAAAAGATATGCTCCCATGTGCAACGTACCTTGCAATCCAACTACCCACTTCCAGAAAGTATTGACTGTAAAAAGAAATGCCTGAGTATTTCCTGGTCAGGAAGGTTCAACAAGAAACCAACTATGCCCTTATCAGCAAATGAATATTAATGCTGATCTGAGCTCTGTGTTGCCGCTATTGGGTAACGTTCACTTGGCGGACTTCCAGTTGCACTCTCTGAAGGATTTTTCTCTCTTGCTCTCAGTAGAGAGCCTGTGTGCATTGCCATCTTATGATTTTGTGTTGGTAAGAGAGCAACAGCAAAACTCTACAAGATGTCACAAACACAGAGGCATGGGCCAAGGGATCTCACTGTGTGCTGAACGTGTATTTTCAGATGCAAAAAGGAATGTTGGAAAGGAGGAGAAACGCTGTTTTTTATTATCATAGGGTAAACCTGACAATTCTGAACTTTGTGAATTGTCAGCTTGTTTGGGGGAAGGGTGGGTGGGTATGGGGTGTACTTTTTATAAGTAATATTTAATTTATTATTTAGAGTGGCTTCTTTTTGGATAATTTATGATAAAAATGGGAGATCTGGTTGGGATCTAGATACGGCTGTTAAAGCTGCAGTGTTCCATATCTCAGAGGGCCTACGTTGGAAATGAGTTGCCCATTGTTGAGTATGAAGATATATCCAGTCCAGGCAAAGCCTTCAGTGAAGTTCCATCATCACCACCTTCTCCCTTTCTAGGGTCATTCAAAGAAGACAACACCAAACCCAAAGTAATTCTGGTAGCATTTTGCAGATCAATGCTACTCCTTTTGTGGAAGGGCTTTGCAATTAAAGCAAGTTGGTAGTGTGCTAGTGATGAGTTTATTTGGTAGAAATGGGTATACTACAGCTTTAACTAGCCTTAGTGGAAAAAGGAATTTTTTGTTGTTACAAAACACCTTTTAAAAGACAAAAAGGTATTTTGAGCCTACAAAGAGTTTCTTTAAATTGTCAGACCTAGCATTGTTAACCAAATTAGACTAGTGATTGCAATATTTAAGTGTAAATCTTGTTCTATGAGAAAGGAAACTTGCTTACAGTTTAAAACAATGACTGTTTCTACACCGATCTTGTATACTACTACACGAGGAAAAAGGGGTTTTTGTAATCACTGTAGAACAGTCTCCTATTCATTTTTTATAGAAATGTTATTCCAATGGTGCATTTTTTTGTTTAATAAATAAAGTTTTGATACAAAGTTGTTTCTTTGTATTATTTATAGTAAATGATGTACCGATACCTAACCTTAATTCCAGCCTATCTTTACTTAGCCTTTTTTTTTTAAGATTTTTGCCATTGGGCATATGTTCTCAGTGGACAGAGACAGAGGGAAAGTGAGAAATCATGCCCTGGGGGAATAGCTGTGCTGCAATACCTTTTCCTCCATTCTACTCCTGGGATTTTGAGTGCACATGCACACATGCCCAGCATGATTTTCAAGCCATCAGGTCCCGCACTTGTACCATGGTCTACTATGTGAGAGTCCAGTGCTTTAATCACCATGCTACCTGCTGGCCCCTGCAGTTATCCTTAGTATACTTATTGTTTCTTATTAACAGCTGTGCTAGAACTGTCAGTACTCTGCCACCTACCCTGGGATCCTTCTGTTTTCAATCCCAGCAATCAGCACCCAAGTCTGTTTTCTCCCCTTGCCTATTTATTTCTTCCATGAATGAGAAAGAGCATTTCAAATGGGACCTGAATTCACTTGAGCATTCCTGGATTATGGACAAATGAGTGCATGGCATACTCAGGGAGGCTCCTATCACGAACCAGACACCTCTGGGTCCCATTCTTTTTTATTGGATGGCTGCCTCGGGCTGCCAGAACTTGCTTTACCTGCATGCAAGCTGGAAATGTCTGATTAGACCTTACAAACAACAGCTAAGGGACCAGCAGTTGACATAATGGCTATGTCGCTGGACTCCCATGTAGTCAACCATGGTTTGAGTCCCGGACCCGGTGGCTTAAACTCATGCCCGGCACATGTGCATGTGTGCCCAAGATCCTGAGAGAAGAATGGAGGAGAAGGGATTGCCGGGTGGCCATCCCCCCTGGGGGGGGGGTGATTTCTCGCTTTCTGTCTCTCTGTCTCTGTCTTTTTGGTGAGCACACACATCCTAGAGCAAAAATCTCTCAAAAAAAAACAGCTAAGTACTCTAGCCCATTTGACCTTGATGGAGAAAATTGAGTTTCACCACAGGACTGAGCCAAAGCGACTTTCTGTGGAGACATTGCTCCATAATAGTACACCCATGAGAATACACTCTTGCTTGGCTCACCTCCCTTCCCTTTACCTTCTGCCCTCTTCCCCTAATGGTTTCTCCTGGGAGCACTTCATAATAAATCATTTTCATATAACACTTCATAGTAGGGTCTTTTTCTGAAGAATTCACCCAGGACAAGATCCTTCTTTCATCCACTCTCAATACACTGGCATCAAATCAATGAAATCCTCTCTTCATCCTCCAGGTACTTAACTTGTGTTAACTGATCAGTGTATACTTCAAGTATTGGAAAATTAAGTCTTTAAGAGAAAGTCATGTGTTGATAGAAGTTTTTGAAACTCTCTGAGATAAGCAGAGAACTATTCAGTATGTTATTGTTTCCATACAATGCATCAGAGATGGCAGGTCAGGTGGGTGAAGCTCATCTAGCTGTTCTCATATTCTTCAACATATGATCACTCCCTCTAGAGAAAAAAATACCTATTAAAAATCTCTGAGGACATGGAGAAACTAGAACTCCTGTTCATTATTGGTGAGAATGTAAACTGGTGTAGTCACTATAGAAAATGAAGGGTAGATTCCCAAAATTTAGACATAGGTTGTCATATAACTCAGCAATTCCATCTCCGGATGTATATCCAAAAGCATTGAGAGCAGAGATTCCAACAGATATTTGAAAACCCATGTTTATAGGAGCATTATTCACAATAGCCAAAAGATGAAAGCAACCCAAGTGTCTATAAACAGATTAATAGA